CCGATCTCACTTTCAAAAGAGGATCATTCGAAAGCGAAAGAAGTCTGGATGCAGGTTTTTTGGGGAAAAACCTCTTTCTAATATAAAATGTAATCTAGACATAGCCTAAGTGACAAGTTCACATACGAAGTCTATGATAGAGCAGGAAATTGAATTTGGGCCTCCCAAGCTAACCTCTATTATTTCCTCTTTTCTTATACCCTAATAGCCTCTGAGATGTTTCTAAGTTCATGTGAAGCTTGCCTTTTGGATTTATAAATGCTTTTTCTTCCCCCGTTCAACAAATAATAAACTTTAAAATATTTATCCAACAAGCACTCTCAGCTACTTCTGCAATGACAGCACAATTAAACTGTAAAGTTGTTTTCTTTTTCCTGTGACAAACCATTCACTGGAGCACTCTGATTAATCAAAGCAAGCTGAGTGCTATGGAAGCTGCTGCCAATATGAAAAATTAGAAATCCACAGATAAAACCTATCAACTAGGAAATGTAAATGAAGGGATATAAAAACATTCTGTGGGAAATATAATTTATATGCAAAATTGCTATGTAGCCAATGCTAATCTAATGAGTCCAGATAATTATTAACTGGCTCTAATTCAACCCCAGGTGAATTGGAAGTGGTGTTATAGTATAAATGAATTCTTTTTAAAAGGAAATTAATTGTAAGTCCATAAACTTCACAAAACCTTATAATTCAGAAAAAGAGCGCCTTTTTTATTTGTTAGAAGATTTCATAGATTAGAAAAAAAGAAATGAAAAATATTTCCTGGACAACAGCCTCCAAATAGTGAATCTCTTTACTTTGCTAAAGAATGTCTGGTAGAGGCCCAATCCAACTCCACTCTTGTCAGTGCGAGCCTTTAGCTCGTCTCCTACATTTATACAGGAATCCAGTTTAGATTATACTAGGGAGAGGGGAATTACTGATTCCCAAGCCAAACAGATGCAGTAAAGCTGAAATCAATAAAAGTCGTCATTGGGAACACTGCTAAAACGGAGATCTCTGATAAAACTAAGAAGCCTGGCAAAAATAAGGAGTAAGTTGCATGACCTTTACTCACATTGGGAAGCACCTCCACCCACAAGGGCTGCCACTGAAGTTAGTGAGATTAACCAGTCTGAGTAAGGATTGCACAACTGGCGTGAGTAAGGATTGCACAAACCCCAAACACCTGCTTGCACTCCCTGTGACCCAGAAAGCCAAGAGGCCAAGGACACAGAAGGTGCATGGAATTTTACAGACAGTCACTGGGTTGGCTATCTGCATAATAGTTTGCAGAAGGCTGGCGTGTGAGGACTATCATGAGCCAGTGGCGGCTTGTCATGTCTGCATGGATAACATTAAGGAATGACGTAATTTTCAACATAAATACATTCTGAAGGTCTTGGAGATAAGACAGGTCACCGGGAGGTGAGATAACTCGGAGATGTTCCTTTCCGACGGAAGGTGAGTGACATCTATAACCCTGTCTGGTCACTGGCATACTATCTACCTATTTGTACTCTGAATCAGGTGCGCAGTGAGAGGAAACCCACAGGAAAAAACAAACAGCTGGGGGTGCGCTGAGTGAAAACAAGCGATTCATCTGTTATATCTTGGAACGCAGAGAGAAACAGGGAATCGGTCACCAAGG